GGGGGGGGGGGGGGGGGGGGGAGGATTGAAATCTTGCTATACATACTTGGTATGTGGGAAAACTGCAGTATTTTTAATGAAGTTAGCATATTAGATGGTGGACTAAGTTCAGTTCTAGGTGTAAAAGCAGAAGAATCAATGTAATCCAGAATTTGAAACACCTTGAGTTCCAGGCAAGACTACATTATGAGATATTTTCCATAAGGGAAAGAGACAGGGGAAAGACACGATTGCAAACTTTGAATATGTAAAGAGTTGCTTGTTATTCTCTATGTCCATGGAAACCAATGTTTCCAAAGCAGAGGAAAGGAGAATGTTCAAGGAATAGGTGAGGAGTAGTGATGGAAGGGCTCCTCCCAGATCTCCATGTCTCACAGTAAGGTCTGGAAGAGGAGAGCACAATGAAGCTGAGGGCCACCCAGGTAAGTTAGGTGTATGGGTCTGTATCTTGGAGGTTGTTGAGAGGACTGGCCCCTCTGAGGCTGCTGTTTGTCATCTCTGAAGCCGTATCCCACCAATGTTCTTTCTCACTTGCACGTTAGTGAGATCTTCACTATCTCACAACTTGACAATCAAAGCTGGGCCACAGTTACGGCTATCATTAAGTTGTCTAACAGCTAACACGTTAAAACTCCAAGAATTTCACCACTTAAATTCCTTTCATTACTTTAGGATGACATGATGCTGTTTATGAATATTAATGTGATACTACTTATGAATGTTAACATGCTGCTACTTATGAATAAGTGCATTACAGTGAGGTTTGCAAAAAATTTCCTAACAGATCAGGGGCTTTTTTTAATTCTGGAACTTATTTCTTGACGTCTTTTTGTCCATAGCTGGGAGTCAACTGCACCAGATATTCCTGATCTCCCATCTTTCTTTCTGAGTTCCCCAAATATGACTCAGCCTGGTCTAGAGCTGTACCTGGAGCAGAAAGCTGAAAAGCAGAGTGTATTAACACTCTGCTAATTTGCCTCTCTGGCTGCCAAGTCAAAGCACACGCACAACTTCCTAGCTTGGAGTACAGCCAGGATAAATCTATGACTACACTTATCTGAGCAGATACACATTTCAACATCTAATTCCTTTTTACGAACATCATTCTAAAAACCCTTTCCCCTTTCAGGGTAGGAAGCCTCTGTCTTTATACATGTCTTAGTATCAGTGTTGCTGGAGGCAGTGGGAAGCAGCAGCCATTTTGAAATAGAGTAATTCTTTTATCACTAGGAAAAAGCACCAGCTTCTAATGAAAGCAAGTTTCAGCTCTGTGTTTTTATTGATAGTTCAAACAATAGCAGAGATAGGAACCACAGGATAAGGAAGAGTGGCTGTGCACGTAAAGGTGTGCATTTAAACAGAATGTGCTGAGAAGAACTGTGCAAGTGTATTTATGGCAGAGGAAAGCATGTGTCAGGGATATGCAAGGAGGGTAAGGAGTGGTGAGGAGGTCTAGCATGCACACTTCAGCCACATGGGCTCCTGTTTCACCAGAAAGAGGAAGAAAAAGGTACTTTCATGTGATCTGGAGAGTCATTTCTCTTAATAAATATTTCACCAAAGGTGAAGATCCAGATGATTGCCTCAGTCATGACCTGGGGTTATTGCATGATTTCACTGTACATGGTAGACCAAAAATTAGTTTATTTGGTTCCTCTGTTGTCCATAGCCGATGTTTGGGTTTTAGAATAATGTTTAGCATTTTTTTTTATGTACATGTTGTACTTCTAAGCTCTGTTTTGACTATATTGTGTATGATGGGTTTGGGCAGAAAAACATAGAGGCATTTTTGAGCATGATTTTCAGGCAGAACTACTTCCTGTGCAAGATTCTGTTTTGGCAAGAAATTGACAGTTTAAAAAATTGCAAAACAAAGTTCTGTCTATAAAACAATAGAATCAATCATTTCATGAGTCAATAATTTTTCAATTGAATGTTTAAGTTAATTAAATCTTTTAAATAAGTTCATTGTTGAAATTTATGACACTATTGAATGAATTGTTTAAACTGAGCTGGATTGTACTGAATATTCTTGGGATCTTAATTTTTTTTCTTGATTTGGTTTGGGATGAGATTATAAAAACTTGACCTTTTTTCATTATGATTGAACAGTTTCCTATACAGTTTTAATTTTTAGCAGTGTAAGAATATGTCTTAGTATAGATTTCAGATATATGCCATCAACATTAACTCAGTTTTATTGCAGATTTTTATAGCAATTTATTAACTGACACAAATACATTAAGACCATATTGTAAGCCAACCACTGATATAGACAAATTGAGGCTTAAATTCTATCTCAGCTCCTGTTCTCCCCTTCACCTTCCAGCACTACATTAAATGAAATGATTAACATTGATCACATGCAGTTGTAGCAGAAAGTTGCAAGATTTGTAAAGGTCATTATTTCATGTGGTGGCTTAATTCATAGTCCTGTAGACACCCCTAAAGTGTTGTGTCTCCTGCATGGACAAGCTTTACCTCTGTCATAAAACT